CTATATTATATATTTCAAAAGCCTGTTCTAGTTAAAAGCGTAGCCGTTCCCACGTTTGGTATGTTTTCATAGAAAAATGGTAAGCTGACATATTGTTTTGGAATCCAGAAAGTAAAATAAAAAAAATTAATTCAAAAGAGARACTGCTAATAAAAAAATATGGACTATTTATGCTCAATGTAATCAAACGAATAATAAAAATGTTTATATATATTATTGACCCAGGCTCGCTATCAGGGTGACATAGATGGCGAATCTATGGTTTTCAATCGCCCACCTTCATGCATCAAAACCGTGTTGTTATTTCTAATTGCTGTCGTAGTCATGATGATGGGCCTACTTGGTGGATTTACTCTATATCGCGCTTATGCACCCACTACTTCAAATTTACATTACCGTGCACTTTGCGACATTCCATATATGCAGACTGGTAATATAACTATACCGCGTCTGTATGAGGAACGTGATGAGCTAGATTGGCGTAACCTTTTTTCGCGTTTTACAAACTACAACGGCAATAACGACTTGAGTGATGATTTCTTCCGTGAGGAAATCGATGTGGATATGAGCGATTCAGAAAGTTTCGCAAAAATTGATGTACCCGATTTCAAAGATGGACGGCGGGGACGTTTTATGCATGATTTTAAAAAGAATCAATCGGCAATTATTGATACCACTGCAAATCGTTGCTTCATAATGCCACTTGACCGTGACACCACATTACCACCAAAGAGTTTTGTAGATTTAATGCAAAAGATGGGTTCAGGATACTATAACATCGACACTGATCGCGTTCGTCGCAATATGCGTGTAGTTACCCCGCCTGTAACTGATCTCTCAATGATCTCAGAGAGAATTGCTAACGAATGCTATGATATGAGAGTTTACATGTTGGAGAACTACGTTTCAGGAGGTTAGTATAATTGCTAATTTTAGTTATTACTTTCATTAAGTCACAATATATGTAAATAAACACAAACTCTTAAATTTATGTAATTTTCAGTATTTAAACGTGAAGCTATTCCTGTGGCWGAAACTGACAGGTTCACTGAATTCATGGGCAAAGGTGTGGTTGAATTTAATTTGATAAATATGAATGATATAGAGGAATTTGAACGGAAACAGCAGTAAAATCATTCAAATATTGTTTAGAAATCGTATACATTAATTGCGGTGCTCTCAAGCATTTTTGTAGGATGTAGTTTGTATGATTGCAAAACTTGATGTTGATAAATTAGCGGCTGTATTCAAATTTATTAACCGACAACAAAAAAATTTTTTTTTTTATATAATTAACGACTGCATTACCCTTACCTTATATATTCCTAGCAAATTATTGTATGAAGSGTATTTGGAAAATTACGAAATATTGTATTAATATATGTATTCGATTTTTTTATTATTTCGAAATTATTATTAGAAAATTGGAGTTTATCGATTTGTATTAACTTTATTATTACTTCAAACATGTATTGTAAATTTACCATAATATTTCCAATTGATTCAAATTTGTATTTTATAAACTTTACTTCCGACATAATTTTATTCACTTGCGTATATTTTTTTAAAAATAAATTCGAAATAATCAAAAATGCATCAAGTTAAACGATCAAGCATGGTTAACAAATACAACAAAAACAAAATTAAAGTTTAATGACAAACAAATTGAACATACGTATTTTAAAGAACCCGAAATATTATCAATTATTGTGCATAAGAAACAATTGCGTACCTAAAAGAAAATTAATTGTGACAAATATTAAAAACGTGCTAAAATAAATGTATAGCTCATCAGGCATCTGTATGTATGTCATGAACTAGAAGTGTGGCAGAACTAACTTCTGTTGGTATCAGGTGGTGGCACGTTGTTAAGAAAATTTCGATAATCTTCAATATGACTACGGTATAAAAATCAATAATGAACTACAATGTCACACAATTTATACATTATAATAATTTCCTATTACAACTTTACAAATKCTTTTATGTAGTAACATACTTTATATATTCCAATGTACTATAATAACTATCAATATATTCATATTTTATTGGCCAATTTTAAAACACAAATTATTTTACATAATTTATAAAAGTATTGTATTGTTATCGAATGTGATGCACTAGTTCCATTTTATATAATTTGAAAAGTACCCCTCTATATATTTTATAATGTAAACTTATGATTGCAATGTTTTGAATCGTTTGCAACTATAACTAAAGAAAGCACTCTCTATTTTCAACAGAAAAAATAAGTTGGTCAATTTCAATTTTGAACATATCAACATAATTGCTTTTTACGATTGATTCGATATTTAATAACAACAAAGAATACAATAAATCAAATTTTCAATGTTAAAATATAATGTTAATAAAGGAAAATCACCTTCAGTCTTATTCCTTTTGTTTCAATTTCTCAAATTACTGCATCATCGAATTTGCAGTTTTACTGTCAGTTTTCTCCTCCTTGTAGCGATGTCCGTAATTAGGTTAACTTATAGTACCCGGTTGTCTCGTAATGGGTATGGGTCTTATGCCAGATGGAGGTTCAGTATAATTCGAACTGAAGCATTCGAATTACCGGACGTTACCACTTTTGCGAACTTTAAAAGCGCTTTACTTACATATATTCTGTACCCGACGAATGACATTTGAAAAGCTCATAAACTTTATTCTTTCCCAGAATGCTCTTTTAGCCCAGAACCCAGTACATATGCGGTCACTTTCCGGCATCCATCTCCTGTATGTTCGTAATTACTTTGATGTGTCTTGAAACGTTTGAAGAACTGAGACATTCAAAGTTTTTTTGATTTATTTATTTTGCTGTTTACTTAAAACTACTTAATATGCAATTATTATACATGTATACAGCCTTACTAACAGAAATAATATTTAAATAAAAGGCCGACACAGCGCCAGTGTGTGATCCACTCCAAAAGCAACTTTTATTACTTTGCCGTTCACTGCTGTTTTGAAGGGGAAAAATTGATCTTTTTTATGGCCTAAGCCTAGATGGCCGAAACGATTCTTACCCCACATAAAGAGATCACCGTCTGAGTTTATCGCACCCATATGAAACACGCCACACCCAATTGATGTCACATGAGTTTTGTCACTGAAGTCATTGCGGCCGAACAAAGGAGGCAATAATTGTTGTGGTTTCGAAGTTTGCTCCACTCGAGGACCAAATCCTAGTATACCGTAACCCCAGGTATACACAAGTCCATCCTCATTTAATAGCATGCAAAACGATCCACCTGCTGCTATATCTTTAATCTTACCAATGCCTTTAGTTAAGGATAATGCGCGAGGTGTATTGACTTGGGTATCGGCATTTTCACTACTATCTAGTTGGCCATATTCAGAATTTCCCCATCCAAATACTTCACCTTTGTCGTTTAAAGCCAAAACACAATCTGATGCGCATGCTAACTTTGTTATGCGTTGATCAACAATTTCACCTTTGGCTAATTCAATTTCACCGCTTGTATTGTAATGTCCTTTTCCTGTTTGACCATCTGCACCCCACCCACAAGTGTATACACAACCCAGTTTAGTTACGAACATAGTGTGATCTTGACCACATTCTACAGAAATAATTTCATCATTTGGTTTACAAATTTCCTTTTCTGATATTCGATGTATAAGCGCGCTACCACGATAGTCTTCATTTTCGATTATAGGTCGTCCGCACTGGCCATATGAATTATTACCCATAGTAAAAATGGTTCCATTTTGTGTAATTACGACCAAATGAGCGCGCCCAGCCGACATACAGCGCACTTGCATATCTGCGTCAGTTTCATTTTCGAGCCTGGGAAGGTTTATGGCGGTAGGATAGATTATTACATCTAATTTAGATGGCTCTTTTAAGCTACCCTTAACTTGAAATCCTAACTGTGAATCAGTATTTAATCCAGAGCCAAAAAGAGTCTGACCATCGGATCGTTGAACTGCAAAGGCAGAGAACCCATAGCCGGCCGCAATGTCTATGACATCTGTGTTAACTGAAAACTGCATTCGTGTTGGATGGTGGACCATTTCTGTGTAGCGTTCTTTGGATTTTCGGATGTTAGTTTGAAGACCCAGAGCACCAGTCTCCTGAAAACCCCAAACATAAACTCGACGCTGTTTTGTATCCGACACTTTAGGGGTGAAAGCTGTAAAACAAGTTAGCTGTTATATATTTTACGCCAGAAACCWTTTTACTTACCCAAAACCTTTGATTTATCTTGCATTAAGACGCTCCGCTTTGCTTTAGTGGTATACTGACGTTCTGACAGACGATAAATCCTTTTAAAGCTTCGGAGCATTTTTGCAATCGATTTGAGGATTATTTATTATGAAATTGAAAAAACGAGGACGAACCCCACGAAAAATCTAATTAGAATTAGTTATTCACAGCTGTTTCAAGTAAACAGCTKTCCTGGGCATGCATGAGATTGTGTACATACGTACGCATATTAAGGTGGTTCCTTGTCGGTTTCGTATATAGTAAAATTTAWATAAAGTAACTTTTATACATATGAAACTCACACAAAAATACGTAAGAGCTGTTATTTAAATGCATGTACATACATTACAGAATTAATTATAATTTGTACCATTCAACTGATGCAAGTAATCTAGAGATATATCTTACGTTAAGACAATTGCAATAAGAACATAACTTTCTAAAATATTTATATTGCGAGCATTGTCAAATACAAATATCTGAATATCATTATATTTATTACGAAGAATCCAATCATCGTTTTTCTTATCTATAGGTGTTTGGGGGAAAAAAGTCTTAAATATATAATATATATAAAATTGTCCCATTATTCCCATCTACTGTAAAAAGTCGTTGCTTGAAATACAGCGCCATCTACATTTTTATGGTAATAACATATTATTCTTAATTCACAATAAGAGCTTATGAAAATGATTGGCTTGGTAACACTATTGACAAATAGAAAATGTTTACGCGGAAACTCTGGTTCAGGTCGCAGACAGATGGCGATGAAAAAAGAGTTGCTGGAACGAAGTTGTCGGAGTGTCAAAGTGTCGGAGAAAAATTGTGAACCAGTGAAAATTTTGATATAATTAAAAATATTTGAAATACTTACAGTGAATTTGTTAAGGCTCATATAATATAGAAGTATTCAATGATATGAAAAGTGCATATATCCAATTTTTAAAGGAGTATATGGTCCAAGTCACCAAGTGAAAATTTCAATGAAGCAGATTTATTACTATACAAATCAATATTAAATAAATATAAAAAAATAATGATAAATACCGTGCTTAAGTGTTAAACTAATAATTTTCTATTATACCGGTAAAAGTCAATTCGCCGATTTTTTCTACTCGGTGAAAAATTTGTTATAATTAACGAGCGCCGCCCTTAAATAGTGTACCAAGTACCGAGCGTTTAAACGAATACATGAATAGAGTTCATTCAAATTTTATTGAAACAATTTCTAGGACAATATATCTGGATTAACAACAATAATTTTTGGCATATCGGCGTAATGTTATTGCATTAAAAGGCTGGGGCTGTGCGAATTTGCTTTTCGATAAAAACCGAAAATCGTCTCCGGTAGGTACACACAAAAATTCATTCTACTTTTTGCTCCTCTTTCATACTCTGTACACATTCGCTCATGTGCAATATGCGCTTCTGTCCCACAATTGTGCTTGTTCGTACTCTCCACTCAATATAGAAGGGGTCTTCCTACCTATAGATAAAAGAGTCCTTCGCCAATAAACCCAAATATTTGGCTGGGAATCTACATTTTTATGTACATAGATACAAGAATTTTGAAAATGTTTCCTTTGCCATACGTTTGGCCTTCCTGTTACGTTTTTCCGTATCAACATATACATTGGTGGTGGGTGGATAATAGATAGGGTGGAAATCCGTATAGGCTCATTCGGTATGTTTTCGGTTTTAAGAGATTAGGAATACAATTCCTATGATTGGAATTCTCAAGAAATATTTAAATTCACCACTTAATGTGTAAACTGGTGTCTCCGAATTAATGGTAAATAATAATTAATCTAAACTATTTTTCAATTAAATATTTTTAAAAATGGTTTATAATGACTTACAAACTTATATTCGTAATAGGAAAACACAATTAATGTTTTATACTGTTCTGACATTACTAATATTTGTTTCATCCCTTAAATAGTTTCTCTTTTGCATATGAGAGCATTATTTTTCCGACTTCGGATGGGAGTTTCCATATTCACCTCTCTTGTTTTCGCGTCTTCCCACATTCTACCTTTAAAAAAGTTGCAAAGGTTTCTTACACATATATATATATATGCATATATACATATGTTTAAAGGATATTTAATAAACAATATGTTTTTTATCCATATGTTCAAAGTAAAAATTGGGCGTGTTAGATACATAAGGTAGGTGCCGATATTTTAAAGAAAAGGTGTATATTAACAACATTAATTTTTTAATAAGGTTCTGATGTGTATCAAAATTTGTGGGGTATGGTTTTCGCTTTTTTTAATATTTCTTAATTTCGTGTTAGTATAATAGCAAAGTTATAGACTTTTATACATACAATTTTATGTAAAATGAAGACGTATTTATAAAATGATATAAGTTTATGGTGGTTTGACAAATGATAATTCATTTGTCCTGCATTACCTTTGTACCAATGACTTAACCTTTGCCATATATTTTCAAAAAGGGGGAAATCGGCAGTGTACATGGCTATGTCTGCCGTACTATACCCAAAAAGTAAAGCACCACTTTACTCCTGGTAATGTAAGGTGATACCCTCAACACACCACCAGCAAGGCACTTTCTTTAAATCAATGTTTACATACTATTCTTATTCAATGCAAACCTATTTCCATGTACATATATATGTAAATACATATGTATATATGGTACAGGAATTATTTCTCATGCCTTTGGTACTTCCCATGTCAGTTAATGCATTGACTAATATTCAGCATCTCTGTGTAGATTACAGTTAGATATATTTTATGCAGACCTCTTATTACCTAATTTTTGACAGGTTTCTCAATAAATACATAAATTTTTCGAAAGTTTCTAAGACATTATAAAAAAAATATAAAATAAAAAAATATTATATTATTGTATAAAGATTTCGAATAAGATTCGGTGTTCTCAAATTTTTGCCCATAGCAAAAATAAACTCTGATTCAATAAAATTAAAAAGTAAATGTATCCTTAAAATTAAAATTTATATTTGTGAATATTAAAAATATAGTAATTTTCTTCAAATGTTTTGAAGAATTAAGGCTGTTAATAAGTATGATGATTCCCATTATAGATTTTCACATTGTTGACTCGTAATGACATTGATTTAACCAAAGATTTAAATTTTATGTGCCGATTGAAGCWCATTCCCCCTGTTTTGCCATTTTTAATTTGTGGCGTCACCACATAAGGTGTAAACATGGACTTTTTGCAGACCACCCCAAAAGCGGAATTTTGGCGGATTTTAAAGATCTTTTAGCAAGAGTTGCATTGTTGTATTTTTGTCTTAAGGTCTGGATGTGGTACCATAGAAATTCTCATTATTCTTACGAACAATTCATTTAATCAATGAGTACACGGCGTTTAATTTGATGTTTGCATCTATAATATTTTTTTTTTGGTTTTTTCTACCACGGCGCTTATTAGTACCATATTTTTGCTAATTTTAATAAAAAATTATTAGCAGAATTGTAGTGATTGATCTATATATCTGACATTCGACTAGTGCAAAAGTACTTGAAAAATTGGGACAATTGGTTGTTGATATATGAATCTAAGTAAAGAAATTATATTTGCACACATATTTTGTGTTTTAACTTTATTTCTCTAACTGTTCACTTGTTTTCATAGATTCTGGTAATTCTGTACAGTTAATCGATAGATTTTTTTTATTTGCAGTAGCTTTTGTGGATTTATTTTAAATATAGTAGAAAATATTTATATGTGCGCGACAGTATTAGTCGATTGTTTTTTTTTTTAAGATGCGTATTTAGTACTAGTAGTTAATAATTTAAAATTAAAATAAAAATCTAATCAATAGTTTTGGGGTTGTAGTCAACTATGCCACTGGAACTAGTCTTTAAGCAGGGATGAGTGTTGAAGCAGGAGAGAACACTAGATTCGCGAGAAAATGAAATAGAAATAAAAAATATTTGCTCGGTACTAATCCACCGTTGAATTGCAATTAGCAATTTGGCAACACATTGCTGATTATTGCATTAGGAAGGGGCACCTGTGGCCGCCCACAAAAGTGGCGGTAGCAATAAATTGATTTCAGATGTTTACAAGAGAGCAACTTTGACAGTTAGATCTCAAAAATCGACTATTAAGTTGTGAGCCAATGCTGGTGTTAAAGGATAAGCTTACACAATGTTCAAAGGGTGCGAAGGAACGGTCCATATCTGAAACTAGCAAAACTTAGACAAAAAACACCACTTAAAATTCCCTGAAAAGAAACACAATTATTATCCCAAAAATAGATTATTTTGAAAAGGCCCATCTATACAATTATTATTGAATTCTAATATAAATGCGCATACGAATAAAAAGAACCAATCAGCAACTCTTGGTTTCTCGCACAGTCTGTTCCGTGCGTCAGACCGTCAGACGTCCGAATGTTACATCAGTCAAGTGTAATTTCTGCACTAGCTGGTGTCACTTCTCGGCGTGTTCCGGCTTGCGCACCACACGTAAGTGGAGTGAATGCTACGTTTCCCCATGCGGCAGGAGTCTGCCCCCGCAACACACTACAGTGGCGTCGCCAACAAACACTCCACCGCCCCTGCGGGTTCTGCAGCTGCAACAATCACCACCTTCACGTCACTCCCTCACCCCTAGGATCATTCACGGACACCTGCGACAAACCCGAATACTCCAATTAACTGCAATGGACTCCAGAGCAAGATCGAGGAGATAGTTGCACTTATGAATCGGGAACGCGTATTGATAGCTGCGGTCCAGGAAACCAAGTTAAACAGCCGCTCAAATCTTCTGAGTTGTACCGGTTTCAACGTTTTRCATAAAGATCGCGAGCGAGATAATGGTGGCGGCCTAGCCTTCATATTGCACAACTCCGTGCAGTATCGTCTAATCAATGAGGACGTCGACCGCAGGGATACTACTCTAGAATGTCAGGGCATAGTAATATATACATCCCCCCAGTTACATGTTACCCTACAAGATATCACCCGAATATAGGTGCGCTATTTCGTGGTGAGAACCGTCTTCCCTTTGGTCCGACCCCGTCGAAACAGCACGTTAACTGGGCTTCCCGYTAGATGACCTCGACGGGGGTTTAGATAACCGTTAAAACAACAACAACAACAACAACATAGTAGGTCATGTAATGGAAAAATATAGTTAAGAATACTCACTTTCAAGTTGATCGGTCCAGTTGTCGTTGAGTTATGATGCCAGCGGTTTTGATTTAGTTTAATTTTTTAGTTGATTTCGTAAAAAAAATTATGAAAAATATTATAATAGAAAATTTATTTAGTTTTGATTAACCAAAAATATTTAATCCTGAAGATTACTAATCTAATGATATTCTAATGTCTGATAACATAATTTTACACGTTGACAAGCCATTACCGGCAAAGGACATTTCTCTCAACAACTCTCTTCCGAACTATTCGAAATTTTTACATCACTAACAATAGCAAACAAATTGATTTTGGTGAATGCCAGTGAAAAATATGAGCTTTTCATAGCTTRTATTTCAAATAAGATCAGCATTTGTTTTCAAGGATCTGGCTTCACTTGGAATATCTAATTGGCGCCACGTAGCGAAAAGAAGAAACGACTTGCGCGCTGTTGTTTACTCGGCTATAATTGCGTAAGCGGTGACTACGCCAATCAAGAAGAAGAAGAATACTAGTTAATGAAAGTTATTTTGTTATGGTTATATATTCTTCATAAAGTTATTTTTAATAAAAAGTTTTTCTCATATTAATAATACTTGTAAAAATAATGGCCACCCTAACGCAATAAGCGTAGATAAATACTTTATGTTCTATATCCTTGYGCTAGGCAACAAGCAATCAGCAGCAAAGCCGGTAAAAAATTAATTCCAAGAACAAAATGTCAATGCATAGCCTCTACCTCTACCTATGTAAATGTGCCGAATATTTAAAAATTTTAGGAACGTGAGTCAGTATACATCATACATATGTATATTGTATGTSTGTAGTGGTGTATGCCAACAGAAACGCATACAATTTTGTTTTTGTGGATATTAACTATTGTTTTCGTAATACCACGTTTATTTTTTAACCTGCTACATACATACATATGTATATTATATATATAAGTATACTCGCAGGTATCAATTTTAGTTTTTGTTACTTCGTAACTCATCTGACTTGTTGTCATTGTTTCAGAATATATAAAATTTAACTACTCTACAGACTGCCGCAATTATAGAGGAAACAGAGTTTAGCAAATTTGCTTTTCCAATATTAAATATTTACATTCGAAAATAGTCTGAGGATTTCAGATACTAGGTAGTAGTTTTTAAGCAAATGTTGGGGTTTGGGAACATTTTAAAAAGTGCTTTTCGTTTACTATTT